ACTACTGGGACCACTGGGAACACTGGGAATACTGGGAACATTGGGAATACTGAGAACACTGGGACTACTGGGACCACTGGGAACACTGGGAATACTGGGAACATTGGGAACACTGGGAATACTGAGAACACTGGGACTACTGGGACCACTGGGAACACTGGGACTACTGGGACCACTGGGAATACTGGGAATACTGGGAACACTGGGACCACTGGGAATACTGGGAATACTGGGACCACTGGGAATACTGAGAACACTGGGAATACTGAGAACACTGGGAACACTGGGACCACTGGGAATACTGGGAATACTGAGAACACTGGGACCACTGGGAATACTGGGAACACTGGGAATACTGGGAACACTGGGACCACTGGGAATACTGGGAACACTGGGACCACTGGGAATACTGGGAACACTGGGACCAGCTCATCAAAGCCAACAGGATAGCAGCAACAGGAGGCGTCACTCTGACAGGAATCTGGTGGAGTTCTCATAAAGCCACGACTTTATTCTGTTATGATTTTACTCTCATGTTATTAAAACTATGTTGTTGTGTGATGTCATCATGATGTCACTGACACTATTCTCATACTAATTTAGTTTTCTTTATCCTCCATCATGGATGTAGAAGCAGTTTTGTAGATTTTTCTAACTCTGAACATAAAAACTGTTTTTGTTTGGTCTGTTCCTGAACATGCTGGTGGTTCTTCATCCCGATGATGAAGAGGAAGTTACCCGGTCAGCAGGTCGTCTGACTCCCTCCGCTGGCTGCAGGTCGCTCTGAGAGACGGAGGAGGATAAACGTTCAGACCTCCTGGAACAGAGAAACCAGCGTTAAACCGCCTGGCTCATCCTGACTCTTCTTCTGCTGTTTTTGGCTCTTACTGTTGAGAGCGGACAGGAAGACCCTGAAGAAGCGCAGGACGTGGCCGCGCTCCTCGGCCTGCAGCCGGTGGACGTGGACCAGGTGCTGCCGGACCGGGAGGCCGGCCAGCTCCTCCACCTGCGTCTGGTCGTAGCGTCCGCCCACCGCCACCACGAACACGGCCACGCCGTCGCAGCGGGCCCTGAGGACGGCGCGGCGCAGCGCGGCGCCGTCCAGCCGGGCCGTCCGGGCCGCCACCACGGCCAGCAGCGCCCTCTTCCTGCGCGGCTGGCCGGCCTGCGGCGGCAGCGCCTCCTTCAGGGCCAAGTCCAGCGTGCGGCTCAGCGCCGAGGAGCCGCTCTGCTGCCGCGCCGCCAGCAGGTGGGTCTTCATCCCGTCCCGGTTCTGGTAGGTCTGCGGGCCGAACTCCAGCCTGTCGCCCTGCAGCGCCGCCACCCGGGCCTGGGCGCCGGGCCGGCGGGGCTGAGCGCTGATGGCCAGCTGCTCCACCACAGAGGCCATCAGCTGCTGAGCGCCGGCGTATTGGTCCGCCTGAACCTCCCTGGAGCCGTCCAGAACCAGAGCCAGGTCCAGTTCGGCCTGCAGGGGGGCCGGCGGGTCCAGGATGAAGGAGCAGTCTGAGGAGCGTCTGCAGGGGTCTGCAGGGACGGAGGACACGCTTCAACAGGATGAAAGCTAACAGGAGGAGGTGTGGCCTACGCAAAACATCTGGCCCAAAATCATCCTGAGACCCTCAGACTTCAGTCTGCTCAGTTCAAAACGTCACCAACTCGATAAAACATCAGAGATGAACTAACATCTAACGATTTAATCAGAAGTATTAGTCAGATTACTAAAGCTGCAGAGAGTTTCTGTTTTCCTCTGCAGTGACGCCAGCGCCATCTTGTGACGTAATGAGGGTAAAGCAATCTAAAGGAGGAAGGTTGAGGACACTGAAGAGGTGAGCCATTTGTTTAGGAGGAAGGTGGAGTGATGAAGAGGAGGGAGCTGGTTCTACGGCAGCCATGTTTATTATCTGTAATAAAGCTGAAATGTGGCGTCTCACCGGAGCAGAGGACACACGTCCTGATCCGGTCCAGGTCCTGCTGCCTCCTCAGCAGAGCGAACACAGAGTTTCCTGAATCGTCAGCCTGACAGGAGGAAACAGGAGCTGCTGTTATCTGCTGCGAACGTCTGAAACAAAATCCAAACTCACTGAATTCACTGAGAAAACCGAAAGGCTGATTCTCCTAAGCATCAAACGGCTTCAGACAGAAACAGGAAAAAGTTTAAACGTCCACATTTATCAGCCTGACATTAATGAGCTGCTGTGCAGAGGAAACCATAAATCTGTTCAAACGGATTCTCCTCTGATCCCCGAAGGCATGAAGAACCAAACCAAAGCCGACAGAATGAAGAATGACAGAAAAAAGCAACAAAAGTCAAACTGGGACGATTTTTCTCTCCTCTTGATTTATTTCAGTAGAAAAATGATTTTACTGTTAAAGTTGAACATGATATGTGAAGCAATGCGCAGATTAAAGAACAGATGTGAGATCATGTTAGCTTTAGCGGCGCTAACCATAAAACCAAAACCAGGGTTTCCCCCAGTGTATTATAGGCCTGGCGGCCCGCCATGCTTTACTAGCGCCACCGCCAGGCTAAGCCTTAATTTTTTATTATTTTTTTTAAGGAAAATAAAATAAGGGAGAAAAAAAATCGCCTTTTTTTAAGCCAGATTGCAAGTATTTCTGTTGCTCTGAGTTTCAGTATCAGAGCAGATTTATTCCTAATAGATGTGTTTATAGTTTATGCATTTAAAGCCGGACCAATCACACCGCTGGCCTGTTGACCTCAGCGCTCCTCCTTTCACTCGAACTGGACACAGGCTGACCGCTATGGATATTTACATCAACCCCCTGTGAGGAATTATGATTAGAACCGCAGGAATAACGTGTAGCGCTTTCAGAGGAGCTTTGAGGAGCGATGAGAATATTTGTGAACAAAACATTATGCGGCGTTTACATCTCAACTCGCTGCTCAGCGTTTGGCTCCGTCTTCCCATAATAAACGCTCGGAGCAAAAAGGCGAATTTTTTCCCCTTATTCTTTTTCCCCTTAAACAAAAAAAAAAAGAAGAAGAAGAAGAAAAAAAGAAAGGCTTAGCCTGGCGGTGGCGCTAGTAATGCATGGTGGGCCGCCAGGCCTATAATACACTGGGGGAAACCCTGCTGACTATCCTGCCCCTGTGGTAAGATTTTCTAGAACCAGCCTCCAAACCTAACTCCTTATTTCTATTAATAGTTTTGGTAAAACTCTTTACAGAACCAGAATGTT